TACCTACAAAGTACAATCTACCAACCTAAAACCTACAAACCTACAACCTACAAACCTGCAGCATACAAACCTACAATCTACAAACCTACAACCTACAAACCTACAAACCTACAACCTACAAACCTACAACCTACAAACCTACAACCTACAAACCTACAAACCTTCAGCCTTCAACCTACAAACCTACAACCTAAAACCCACAAATATGCAGTCTATAGCAAACTTTGTGCAAATATTTCAAGAACTGGTGAGTCTAGTGACTTCACAAAGGTGGCAGCATCTGAGACGCTCCTTGAACCACCGCATTGCAATTGTATTTAAACAAGGTAAATGATCTTGTAAATTGGGGTGGCAGTGATAATTGCTATTTATAATGATATTAGATATAAATGCAGTAAGGATTAGCTTTTATCCATGCCACACTTACTAATGAGAATGTCTTCTATCAGATTATGTCTATATTAGGTATAGGAATCAAGTGAAATTTGTGGTGGTCATGTTCCCTACCCTGACCCTTTCCTACTTTTTACAAATTACTTGCAGATAGATTGAATTGCAGCACAACAAAACTTTCGGCAACTCTGAAGTCTGAGTTGATCAATTTCTCACCTGCCGTAAAAATGTCATGACCCCATATAGATGACCTTCACATCTGACCTCTTTTTTGAGACATTGTCAGGCTAGAATGGTGATTTGACACACATCAGCGCACATCATATGTGTTTCCAGGCTTTTTATGATTAGAAACATGTCAACATGTAAGATGCTGCTTTCCCATTGATGGTGGTAGGTGTCAAGCTCAGGTGAATGTCAGGCCAAGGTCATTGACCTAACGTGACATCTGCTGTTTTTGTTTTTACATGTTAAGAGTATCTACCTTATAGCGCTGACTGCAAATTTAACACCCATTTGAATGCTTGGGAGCTATTGTTAGTGCTCATGTAACATGTTGCTGCCAGCGGTGGTAAACACTTTCTGTGTATGTATGCTGGGGTGCCTTTTGGTTAACCTCACCTGACCTGACCCAACCTACTCCAGCTACGTGGATGCATCATCTTTGAAGTGAAAAAATCGATATCTCGAAATGATGATCTTGAAACCCCATTAACACTCTTCCTCTATGTAGAAGTTCTTGTGGGTCTCAATTTTCCAGATGTCTGTGTCATTGACTTGACCTGGAGGGTCAACAAATGACCTTAAACCTTAAAATTGGGCGTCATCGGCTTTCTATCGTTGCTGGCAACACGTTTTTTCTGCGAAGGCTTGGCTCGAGCAGAGGCCGAATGGTTGGGGGTTCCGAGCAAGCCCTCCCTCGTCTCCAGCCATACATCAGGGGCTGTGAAAATGCCAACACAGGCGAGGGCTCAGACATGGCAGTTCTAGCGTAGAATATTCCAAATGGATTGCATATAAATTAAACCATGACAGCTGCTTTTGCCTGACTGCACAAAATGGTGATCAGTTAGTTAGATGTACATTGGCACAGGTCGCCTTTTTCAATTCGTGCTCACTGTGTGCGTTTGGCCTGTACTGTGGTCCTTGAATCCTGCAGTCCTTGAATCCATGATGTCTGACTGTCCCATCAGGAGAGCCATAAGCTCTAGAAAGGTGAAGGGTTTTCCAGAGGGCCTCCTTTCCTCCCGCCAAAGGGCTCTATTACCTTATAGGGGGCATGTCCCACCATTGGCCGATCCTGCCTTACATGCTTTATAAACATACCTAAACCTTACCTACCTGATACAAATCTGTAAAAATTCCATGACAATTTCGGCCTCTACGAACCATAGCTCGTAGGAATTTTATCCGATGCAAACATTCCCTTATGAACCTTTGCTTACAAACTTATTTAGGTACGAAATTATCCGTTACGAACTACAGCATACGAACGTCATTAGCATGCTGATTGCTGACCTTTGCATACGAACCTTATCGTCCTTATCACACATACATTGCGGCCTGCATACGAACTTTTGTATGCGAGCCTTAGCTAGCAAACTCTTCCTTTACGACAGTTATGCTGACCACTGTGACCAGCCCTCTTGGTGACGTTAGTTACTTTTCGTCCACAGATGGAGCTGGTGCCGCCGCCGGAGCGGGTAACGCTCCCGGCCGGCGCGAACCTGGTGCAATGCTTCGTGTGCACCGCCATGTTTTACACGCAGGAAGACCACGACAAACACCTGAAGATGCATCGCAAGGCGGACATCCTGCGGGCCGTCTCGGAACACAGCAGGCACGTGCTGTGGCGGGTGGCGGGCTCAGGGAGGGGGGGGGGGACTGGGGGGCCGTGGGAGAGGAGGAAGGGTCAGAGGAGTGCCTGCTGATAGGGGTGGTTAATGTTAATTGAGATCACCGTTCCGTGCTTCTATCCTCAGGTTACAGAAATCCTTCTCCTCCACACCGAAACCCTCAGTCCGGGCTGGACAGGCACCTTTATCTCATGCAGGCTGCTCCCTTGGAGCGGCACCGCTGCTCCCGAGGGAGCGCACCCCGTAGCTGGGTGCAGTGAGTACCTTGGGGCTGGGTGGCCTGTCCTTTGGACGGGCTCAGTCCCGGCGACTCACTAGTGTGCCTGCCCAGACCAATGTCTCCCCCTATATCCTATCATCCTCCCGGCTCTGAAATGGTCTCATTGGACCGAAAAGGCCTAGCCCAACAAAACACAAAATAATTTAGATGGAGCGTGTGCTGTGCGATGAAAGGACAGGGTCATTTATTGATGGGTAGTAGCTGGTAAATGGGAGTAGATAATTAGATAAATTGAACTTATTGATTATTAGATAAATTTAAGTTTACTGTCATTTTGATTTCTAGACTCAACAGTGTAAGATGTGTGTTTCTCTATCTGATTATATGGATGGATGATTATGGATTATGGTTTCGAGTCAACGACTGCCACTAACCCGCTCCCTGCGCATTGTTTCGGCAGGCTGCACCACCCCCACGCCCACCACCACCACCACCACCACCATGGCCACGCGCACCGCGGCGGCGCCCGCTCGGCCGACGTCGGATACAAACTGGAGCTGCAGAGCGGCTCGGCGGCAGCGGTGGCGCACCACGACTCGTCCGACGGGCCGGCGCACCACTCGCACCACCACCACCACCCGCTGCACGCGCACCAGCACCAGCATCACCTGCACACAGCCCACTCGGGCTGGATGGAGGTGCCGCCGCCGCTGCCGCCGCCGCCGCCGCCGCCGGCACACCCGTCTGCCGGCCACCACCCGGCCGTGCTGCCCGAGCTGCACAGGTGAGAGGGGGATAAGAGAGGGGTTTCCGTGTCACAAGGTAAAGATAAGGTTCAATCCTGTCTTTACCTTGTGTATTATGTGTATGTTTTAAGTGCTTTTAAGACAGGCTGACGAAGAAAGACGAACGTCTTTCGAAAGCTGCTCCCGTAAATAATAAACGTAGCTGGTGTTTTGAATATTTTTATGCTAGAATGTCTTTGTCCCAGCTAAACAATAACATTTATAACTACATAGAAGCATTTTACTTATTAGTCCCTCGCCTTGTCTTATGATGCCCGTGCCATCCCTCCCATCCCAGCTCTCGCCAACTGACCATCTCCGCTCCTCCCCAGTCTCCACTGGCCGCTATCAGGCGCCACCAGTGACGCCGACCAGCACAGCATCATCTACCCGGAGCCGGAGGCGGGTCCGAGCGGCTCGGGCCGCGCCGCCCAGCCGTCGCCACACTCGGCGCCCTCCTCCAGCGGTCCGCCGGACTCTGAGCTGCCGGCCGCCGAACTGCTCTGTACCGAGGAGTCGCTGCACAGCAGCTGCCCGTCACCAGGAGAGCCGACCGCGCCGCTGCTGAGACCCTCCGACTACCAGCTGGTGCAGGACTTCAGTGTGAGTAGACGCGGAGACTGAGCTGGGTGTTGGTGGGTGTCGGAGGAACGTTATTGTTTTCCCGTAGATTTAGTTGTGTTTATTGCTGACGCTCAAATATAATATGCACTTTTATACTATTGGTTAGAGCTTATTCTGGCTTACCTTTAAACATGAGAGTTCAGTTTGGATGAGTGGTCATCAGATCTTCCCTCGGTATCATGCATGATGTTTACACATGATATGTGAATTTCACCGGCCCTTCCCCGTCTGTCTACAGATGTACGGCAGCGCAGAGGTGGGCGCCGGGCCCCCTCCGGCCTACAGTGCCACCCACTCCCGTCGACTCCACCTGAGTCTCTCGTCAGAGGCGGGTGACCTGGCGACGGCTGTGCCGCCAGCGCCGCCGCCGCCACCTCCAGACGCGCCGCACGGGCCCGACTTCGTCAGCTTCAAGTGCATCCACTGCTCGCGCGAGTTCGCCTCCGCCGAGGACATTCACGTGCATCTGTCGGAGGTCAGTGCGGCCAGCCATGTGTGCCAGGTGTGCCACGAGGTGTGCGGCAACGAGTGGCTCCTGGAGGAGCATATGGAGCGACACAGCTCACCGCGACCCTTCAAGTGTGGCGTGTGTGGCAGGGAGTTCAGTAATTCGTCTGTACATCGGCAGCATATTCTGCAGCACATCCCGCCCCGCATACGGGACAGGGTCGAAAACGAGCTGCCCGGCTCGCCGATGGCGATGGCCGCTGCCCCGCCCGTGTCGCCCACAGTTCCGTCGGTGGCTCCGGAGCCGGCACAGGCCCCCAAGATGTGGTCAGTGGCCGAGCGGGCGGGGCCGGTGCGGCCACCCGTCAAAACAGACACCAAGAAACCCGTGTCGTGTGCCACGTGTGGTGCCCAGTTTGCGTTTGTTGCCGCGCTGCAGAGACACATGTTGAAGCAGCACAAACAGCGCCGGCCTCGCTCGACGCGACGCATCTGTAGCTGCAACCACTGCGGGCGCATCTTCTATAGCTACAAACAGCTGCGCTGGCACGCCGAGATTCACGGCAAGAAGCCGCACTCGTGCCCCACGTGCGGCCTCCGCTTTCTGCACGAGTCGTGGCTGACGCGCCACATTCGCGCCCAGCACGACCCGTCACACATGGGGCCGCACTCGGCCGAGTCCAAGCCGTGCCCGATCTGTAACCGCGTCTACATGCGGTCGTCGCTTCAGAAACATATCCGTATGATGCACCAAGAGCTTAAGCCGCATCAGTGCACCCGCTGTGGCAAGCGTTTCGCCGTCAAGTGCAACCTCCAAACGCACGAGTTGTCTCATCTGAGCTATCGTGACCGACCTCACAAGTGCACGCATTGCCGGAAAGCGTACACGACGGCTCGCGACCTGCGCATTCACATGGCGACGCACGAGGGCAAAAAGTATCCGTGTAAGGTGTGTGGACGCGAGTTCACGCGAGCCAGCTCGATGAACCTTCACCTGCGCGAGCACGACGGTGAAAAGAAGCACATGTGTGGCGAGTGCGGTAAGCGCTTCGCACGCAAAGCCTACCTCATGGCACACGTGCGCATTCACACGGGCGAAAAGCCGTTCGAGTGTGCCGTGTGCGGCCGGTCGTTCGCCAGTCGTAGCAACTACAACGCGCACGTCAAGAGTCACACGCGCCGGGAGCCGGTGAACGCTGAGCTCTGAGCGCGGCTCTGCTTAGGAAGATGACCGCTCCGGCCGCGGGAGGCGGTGGGGCGAGCGCTGTCTCGCTTCTGTCGCTCGTCCCGGCCCCGTCCGCTGCGCGAGACGCTCTCGTAGCGTCCCTAGACCGCAGTGGATCTAGAGAAAATGATCGGCAATAGGGACACGGCGGTCCTGGTGCCTGGAGGGACGGACGTCGCGTCGTCCTCGCCATTTTACTACTGCATTTCACCCTGTCTGACCGCAGTGTGTGTTGTGGTTTTTAAATGGGTAGACTTTGGGTGAAAGGGGAGGGTGATTTTTATCCGGACCAGTGTGTTTCTGATATTTGATGAATGGTTACCGTTGTATGCATGTTGACCTTAGGTGGTTAGTGATCGGTGTTTTAGGAGTTCAAAGATGTTTTACCCTTTCGGAGGTTGCGCACTGTTATCAGATTTTAACCATGTTTGTATATTTTTAGCTTATAGTCCCTGATCAGTGCGCTTTTAGACATTCTTCTCACGTTTCGACAAAATAGTTTTGCTACCGCGTCTCGGAATAATTTTATCATAAAATAGTAATTTTGGTCACTCTGCCGCTGCACGAAGCGTACCGCGTCGTGTGTGATTTACAGTTCAACCCTCATCTTCCCTCATCATTTCATCTGGTTTCATGCCGCGCGCCTGAGCATCGCGCTCTATTGTCCGCATATGTAGTCTTGCATGTCGATACTGCACGTACCGTGTTAATTTTCTGGCGAATGAAGCTCGCCAGATGTTTGTTTCGAGGCTATATGGTTTTAGCTCGAATTTATGTCTCGGTGGGATGCCTCCACCTGAAGCTTAGCCAAAGCTTTGTAAATGTGGTTGTAGCGTATTTGTAGCATTCATAGTTTATTGAAATGTGTTCTGCGTGACACAGCACCGTAAAATTGGACCCCAGCACCCTGTTTTGGATCTCAGATGGGGGTCTGCCCGGTGGTTATCCCGGCACGGTACAGCATGCCGCCGTCACCTCCCATCGCACCGCCCCGTACCATGGTCTTTCTGGCCGAATGGTTGCAGATATCGTCTAGAAAGGTTGCGCACTGTCTTTGTTAGACGTTAAGCTTGCCGGTTGAGTTTGCTACCCGTTTGATGTTCGTTTGAGTGAGCGTGTGGGCCTTGTACTTAGGAGAGACGTTGGCTCGGCAGCCGACTGCTGAGTGGAAGGGTCGGAATGGAGTGTGTGTTCGAGAATGTTTTGTGCTGCATGCTTGGGTCCCGGTCAGGAGCCATAGTTTCTTGCCTGGGTGCGGGAGGGGGCCCGCTCCGTGTTGTGTTCGTCGTTATAAGGTGCGGACAGCAATAGAGAGGGAGGGAGAGGCGGCTCGCTCTGCTGCGAGACGTCCCGGCATTACCCGAGCTTTACCAGGCCGAGCGGAGCTCACCAACCGCTGGATGCTGAGTGGGGAACGCGGCGACGAAATTTTACCACAGATATACAACCTGTGTCCTGAAACGCAGCGAGACTTATTGTCGAGCATCGCCTGTTAGTTTGTCTGTATCCAACCTGTCTGTGTTATCGGTATCTATCTGTCTGTTTTATCCGTATCTAAACAAAGTCAACGCTGGCTTTTGTATGTCCCCGGCCTCCTGTGGTGAAATTTCGTCGCCGCCGTCCTGTGTCTCAGCCGGAGGATCTCGCTCGCCGTCGGCCATCTGTAAATATACGCGCCGGGTCCGAGTGCCGCTGCCCGCCCGATATTCACAGCCGTCTACCTGACCTGGGGTCGCTGCGCCGTGCCGGAACAGTGCTGTAGCGCCGCCCTCGAGACCGCGAGCCATGCTAGAGTGTTGTGCCTGGTATCATACCTCTGCTCGCCGCGAATGCTTTGAGTGCACGCACCGCGCGCCTAGCCGATTCCTGTGACCGTTCGCTGTCTTGATTGAACGTAATATAATTTGGAAATGATTTTTATGTTCGTTTTCGGCTGGGTGACTCGGCTTTTAAGGTTATACAATACTATATTTGGTGTGGGAGATACTTAGGACATCCAATGGTGCGATGAAAAGCAAGGCAGATCCGGGGTCGATGCATTAGCTCCGTTTCTGAGTCGACCTTTTAGCCATATGAATGCGAACCAGCGGTATCAAGTATCCCTGCTTTCAGAAGCTGATGCTTTATATGTTCTGGCTCTTCTGTTGCTGATTTGTCTCAGGGAAGATGGTCCATGCGATTTTAGAAAGGCTCGTGGAACGAAGTTTTGTGACTATGGATTGGTAGAGATTCAATGCAAGACAATCGTGCAGTAGTTTTGGGATGATTCCGATCGTGTAACCGGAACCCTAGAGCAGCGCATGTATTGCTCGCTCGCCGCTGACACAGGCGTTACATAACTTCGTCCCACTTCTGACGATTTGCCGGCATATCCACAAAGAGTAAATCATCTGAGGGTCTTAAAATACAATGTATTAGCACACACGACAAACCAGCTACATAGGGCCGGACCGATATTTGTCCCAGTGTTTCAGAGCAACCACGAACTAGTGAAAGACGGCTCAGGACAGACTGCCTGCGCTGCGGCAGGCCCGGAACTGTTAGTACGACGTCCCCTCACCAGGTGGCAGGGTCGTCGGGTACACCTCAGCCCGGTAGCTCAACGATTTCGTGAGCGAGGATGAGGCAGCGGGTTCACAGGGAAAGGAAACACCTCACACCAGTTCTAAGAGGTCACACGACTACAGCGGCATTTACACATTCACGACCTATTTAAATAAAACATTTTCTACACATTCATTCAACAATACTTGGGCAGCGACACCATGGCCTAGGTGGTCCCTTTTTTGTAAAATATAAGCGGCGTCGTTCACCCTTATGACAAGAACGTTTTGTCATTCTTTTTACGAGAGAGAAAAAAAAATCATATTACCGATTCAATTAATAAAAATACATGCTTCACAAAACCTCAATTGACATGGAGAGATGGTACCTATTAAAAATAATATACAAATTGTGCATCTATCATCAAAAAGTTAAAGTCACAAGTTACAAATAGACCGATGGTAACCGGGATAACCATGACCTGAAACTCAACCAATGGTACTAAGCTAATAGTGAGGATAAATATATGAGGCAAGGCGATTATATCAAAAGCCTGATCTTTCTGTTGTGATATTCCGCCTGATTTTCATCACTTGAGTGACATACAAAATATTGTTGTGCCCTATTTCCCATGACATTTGTATCATGTAGTCACTTCACGCTCACCAGTTTCCTGCAGGGTTTACTGGCTGTATAGCCCAGCAAATCTGCCGGGATTTTTCAGTGTTCCCATGTAGTCTGGCAATCTCCATTGCGAGGACTTGACCTAAGTCACTCGAGACACTCTCCCATCGAAAGAGGCAAGCGTTAACCGTTCTACGACACAATGTCCTCAGCACTGAAACTCGAAACAAGAGTGCACCCTGAGAACGGGGCACTCTATCTTCTTGTGTCCATCTCATTCTCACTATACTGTAGTTCAACGTTCGATACGCTAAACAGCTCGAATCTCACTTATCACATCTCACAGTTCACTTGGACGGAATCTAGCCTCGTGGCGGCTTCTCACACCCACGTTCGTGCCACGTTTCGCACGTGACTCGCGTGTCATAGTGTCACTTGTGTCCCACGTTTTGCACGAGTCGCTCATTCCTTGCACCGTATTCACAGTCGCGTACGCTCCTTTTCATCCTCGCACTGGTCTATGCTGACGGTGGTGAAATTTCTCCTACCGTTCTCCTCTGGAGGCTCCTCTACCGAATCCGGTTTGGTGGCCGCCTGGTTCGCCGTGTCACCGCCAGGCGGCGCTGCCTTCGTCTCGGCCTCGACCTCCAGCGCCGCCTCCACGGCCGCCTTGACGGCCTCCTCGACAGTCACCGTGGGCGTCTCGCCGTCCTCCGGGATCACTGTCGGCTCGTGGGGGACCGGCGGAGGCGGTGGCGAACCGCCCAGCTGGCGGCGCAGCGAGGAGCGTAGAGAGCGCAGTCCGGCGCGGAATGAGCTGGTGAGGGAGCTGCGGCGCGCGCGCAGCCCCTCCTCCTGTGCAGGCGGCTCGGGCTGTCGCTCCGGCTCTACCACTGCGGGTGCAGGGGGACGGGGAGGGTCAGAAGTTGCGACAAGCTAAGCTACAGCAGATTGCTGCACATTTGCGCGGTTCAGTGGACGGTGATTCACACTACGCTCCTTCCCCTTCGTCCCTGCTCTCTCATTTCTCCTCTCCTGTTTCTCCCCACTTCATCGTCCGCTTTCTCTTTCCTCCTCATCTCCAGCCTTCCCTCCCTTCCCTCCTCTTCTCCACCCTCTTCTCTACCTCCCTTCCCTATCTTCCCTTCCCTCTCCTCCCTCCTCTCCCTCTCACCAGTCATCGACTCTGGCGGCGACGCGTAGTTGGTGTAGTCCTCATTGGCGATCCAGGCCGGGGCGCTGGTGTTGTGCCACTTCAGGGGCAGCTGGCACACCAGCTTCTCGTCGTCTCGCTTCCAGGGTAGCACGCTTTCCGTCGTAGTGATATGGTCCGAGACTGTGGAAGACGAAGAGGAAGATGTTAGATGTGGGATTTTAAAGTGGAGGCGGGTGATGGGGATAGGGAAGGGAGGAAAAGTGCGATCTTTCTCGCTAATGGGGTAGCCTCCTAGCCTCCTACCGGGGGTAGGAGCGAGCCAACTGTCTCAAAAGCTGTCATTCGACAAGTTGGAGGTTGGAAATGGAATAGCTAGGTGAAGCTCTGCGAGAAATCAAGGCACATACACTCTCAGTATACTGGTACCGATAACCGAAGCTGCAATTTTCCCTTCTTATCGGTACATAACATCGAAGTTCCCGTAAAATATGTACACTTTAAACTCCAAGGTAATTGATATAAGCTCTCGGGAGACAATTACTTTAACCCTCGCCGGACCTATTGGTTTTCTACATACGCGCCGGCCGAGGGGGGGGGGGCGGGTACGACCCCCCCCCCTCGCCGTTTCGCCCCTAGTGGAGCTAGCGCGTCGCGGAAAAAGCGAGCGTGTGCGCCGTTACGAGACGCAGAGATTGGTACCCGATTTTAAGGTCCTAGGTCATCCGGTGACCTCTGAGGTCAGGTCAAGTGCCTCAGGGTACGGTTCAGTTTTTGGTGAATAACTTCGCAAAAAACGGCCGCAGAGCGCCGATTTTGGCAGCATCGTGTTCGCCTCGCTCAGGCGCGTCGAATGATATACTTTTTGTCCGGGTCAGGTCAACTTGGGGTGTTGACCTCAGGTCAAGGTCAGGTCAGCACCCCCAGGTCACGAAGTTGGTCGAAAGAGGTCATGTCGCATATCATTCGATTCGGCAGGCCTTCCTGAGTCCATTGGTGCCTTTCCCGACTCGCTAGCTCAATTTGATCAAGAGTTATTGACGAAAAACTAATTTGACCTTGATGACGTCATAAATGACGTCACGCAAGGTCAACATTGCAAAAGTGACGCATATAACCTTGCAAGGAGTGCATCAAATCACGATTCTGTGTGCTTGATATAGTTGGAGATCGTTCCCGGCGCCAGAATAGCAGTTTGAATTTTTCCCCATTGACTTATAATGGTGAGGTCACGAAAATGACCTGACCTCATATGACCTTTAGGGAAAATCCGAGATATACAAGTTGTTGGACTCATAATGGATACTAGATCCTGCAAGTTTCATTTCCCTGTGACATCTCCTCTGGCAGTGAGGGCGTTGCGAAGTTGCGACATCTGAAGACCGTGCAGAGGTTCACTTATGACGTCATAGGTCAGTGACCTGACCTGACCCGAAAATGCGGTTGGTGTCAAAAGATCCGGCTTGGATCAAAGGTCAGGTATGCCAAGTTTCAGCTCTCTATCGCCAGCGTGTTCGGAGCTATCGCGAAAAAAAAAACCTATGGGGGGGGGCGGCACCCGCCCCCCCCCCCCTCGGCCGGCGAGGGTTAATGTAACAAAATAGTTGAATGAACGACCTTCCCTGCACTCAACACTTCAGCGGTATGTCAGTGTGCAGTAGGTATTGCATATTGCATATCGTACCGTCACTGAGTGCAGAGCCCGAGCGGTCCGGCACGTCAAAGCTGATGATTTCGTCGGGGTTTTCGGCGTCCTTCGGCGGCGAGGTAGTGCGGGCCTCGCGATATGTAGGCACCGAGTCAATGACATCGTACAGGTCATCTGAGAGGTCAGGTCACGACAGGTTAGAACATGGAGGGTGGTTGTGCAGTGGTGATAGAAGCATCAAAATAAAGTAAATGTTACGACTATTTTTACATGTCGAACACTGAACGTTTTAACAGCATAATCGAAATTGTAAGCAATCAGAACAGAGCGCCGAAGTGACTTCCAAGTTTGGAATATGAAATCATAACGTTCGTTCGTCAATCTCAATCAGTAGGGCGTTTACTAGCTGGGCTGCGAATGCAATAAAGTCGGCGCTACATAGCCATCAGTCTCGCGCTGAATCCAATACTGGTCGCTCTCTCGCGACATTGTGCCCCATGCCCTGCGTGAAACATACCGTCCTTCAGCTTCACCGTGGAGCCGTTGGTTTGCACAGCGAAGGAGACGTTCTTCCTCGGTGAGCCGTTCTGGTTCTGCGAAGACACAGTAACCAGTGTCAATCAATTAAAAATAAAATACGTTATGCTCTTCGATGAACTTATTTTATGTTCCCTGCGGATGTTGGTAGCATTTAGTAAAGTGAGTTAGCATATAACGTCCCAATCTGTCCTCCTCTGACGGTATCTGACCTTGACAGTGACTTTGTACGGCGGTGACCCCAGTCACGTGTCACTTTGTTCAACAGGGTATGATGCTATGCAGGGACAAATGTAAACAAGGGCGTGTACACGTGACTTTCGAACACCTCACGCCGCGGCCACTTCGTGGCAAAACACAGAGTTGAATGTTCGGCAGGCACTGGCAGTTGGTACTATGTTGCAACGAGGTGTTGTCACGTACGAAAAACAAGATAGCACCGTTTCACGGTTCACTCAATCCCTTTGGGAAATCTCTGAGTATGGAAAAAGCGTGGCAACAAAAATGAAGGCGTACTAAACTCGAGTTTTACGTCTACTATTCGTCACACCAATAAAACTATAGCGCTCAATATACCTATAGCTAAAAATCCAAGTTCACATAACACCTATTGAATGCAGCTCCGCTGCCATCCGTAATCAGCTCAACTGCAACTACATAGTACATAACATAGAAGAGATCAACAATTCAGTAACTGACGACTACCTTTCGCCGCCAAATCGAAGACATTTAGGTATAACCCCACCCAGAGTGGAATCGTTTGCAGATATATCGTGGACGACAAATCGTGAAAGTTCATAACCCCACCCATAATCGAACCCGACTCCTGCGCTCGACGCTTGTCTTACCCGCTGTTTCTTGCGGCGGTACATGTCGATCATGCGCTGTTTCATGTAGACCTGCATGGTATGGTTGACGGGTCTGGTGTGCATGTCCTCGTCACAGACGGCGTGACGCGAGTAGCTCCAGCGACGACGCTGCGGGGAAACGTGCGTTAGTGCTCAGGAAACAAGTACTTTAGGCGGGGGGGATGTCTAAGTAAGCTAAGATTTACCGATTTGAATGCATGATACTAATGTTTTAGAATGATTGAATGCATGCAATTATGTTTTAGTTATTGCAGACGAAAACGAAGAAAATGTCGATTACTCAAAAGTACGGGCGAACGAGACGATTCGTAGCACAAACCTATTGCTAACGCAGCACCTAATGCAACCTAATAACACCTATTGCCGCTAATGCAACCCCGCTGACGAGGGTTGTTGTGATGAAGCACCTAACTCTGACATGCTACTAAAGGAGTAGGACTAACCCGCTGACGAGGGTTGTTGTGGTCCGAGTCCAGAAGATGGTGAATGGTGGCATCGTTCAGGTCCTTCATGGACGGATTGTAGCGGATCTCGTTCATATCCGGCATGTAGGTCCGATCCACGCGCGACAGGTTCCAGTTCCTGGCGAAAACGTTAGTTGACGGGGTGATGTTTATAGTGTCACGTCAGTCGCTGTTGACGTTGGCAAGACAATAACGTCACAGCACTAATGGACTTCTGCTTGCTATACGATATGGTACTACTGACCCTGACTGATGAATCATACGCCAGATGTAATATGAATAATCATGCAGTGAATGACCAGAGTCTATTGAGGACCGATGACTTTTATGTTGCGTAGGAACTTCGAAGATAATCAAAACATCCAACACCTGCGGTCCGATTTTTCCCTTAACTTGCCAATGCGTTTAAAAGTAATTTCGACTTTTACGCCAAGCACAAAGCCATTAATCTTACAGCTATATAATATAATTAATCACAGCTGCTGCTCTTTCGTCACTTTGCATTTCAGTGACGTATAAACCAGGAATGCACGGACGTCGACACTTCCTAACGGTCAGTTAACAGGGGTCCTGACCTGCCTCACAGAACACAACCGGCTGATGGCTGACCGAGGCGTGTGTTTATGCCAGCTAAGTGCATTTCAGCACGACCGCCTAGGTGCGGGGCTAGGTGCAGGCTGGCAGTCACCTCAGTGATTTTAGCTCTGCGACACAGTTTTTTTTTTTAGATGATATGAAGTCTATTTCGTGCGGGTTCAATGTTTTTGACCATAGGATAGGTATATCATATAATGAGTGACCTGTGTGTTTTGTCAGTCGTGCTTGTTATTTTATCCAATCAGTCAGAAAAAAAAAGTTTTAAACGGTTCGGGTTCACTTAAGTCGTTAAACCACGGTGCACAATGCACATGTATGGAACAGATAAAAGTACGAATAAATAAACTGGTGAGCAGGTGACAAGGACAAAGCAAATGTTTTTTTTTTGCGTTCAACTTACGAATTATCTCGAATGATGTCGCCCCAGGACGGCGAGTTGCGCATGCGCGCGCTCTTCTGTCCGCCGTTGATGACGTCATCGACTGCCGACTTCATGGCGTCCTTGAGGGCCAGCTTGCTGAACGTTTCCATGATCTTGGGGTCACGCGTAGTGTCTTCGTGGGTCAACAGAGGCCGCAGGTACTTGTGATTCAAGTGCTTGAACCTTGAGACGGAGCAGAAACATGGGAATGGTCACAGATGGGCGTACACGATGGGTTAATTATTCCTGGGCAATCGGCTGAGCGTGCGGGGCTTTCAGAACACCAAAGCAGCAGAATGGTGTGAATGACATTGGTGTCTGAATTCATCTGCATAATCCGAGTGAAGAGTGAGTGAAAATGAGGTTTTAAGGCGTCCCTGTCCATTGGACATTCGGCCGCCTGTAAAGAATCTGTTTGCTAGAAAAATATCGAATTGCTAGAATTTTGATATTGCAAGTGCTCATTTACTTTAATTAAGTGTGTGAGTTCTAAAATTTTGACCTTTAAAGTGCTCGGTAACGCGTTGTGGCTTTCTTGGGAGGTGAGTGGGATCCTGGGACTTACTTAACCTACTGTTAGAATTAGTTTTACGTTATAGTTACTTTAAAGGGTTGTTAGCCCGCGCCGGGCCGGGGGGGTGTTTGAACACCCCCCCCCCTGCGGTTTTTCGCAGATATCTCAAAAACGGCGGCGCGGAGCGCCGCCGTTTTTGGCACACCTGTTCGTGCATCTTTTCCGCACATGTTGTGAAAATTTCAGACCCAGGTCACCTTAGGTCAGGTCACCAGGTCACGCCAAGTGACCTCACCTCAGAAAAAATAAGAATGCTCGTCATAGCTACACCGATTGATCGATTGCCTTGAAACTTTCAGCGATTGATTAGAGCAACATTATCTATAAAATGTATATCTCGGAATTTTGATATCGGTGACCTAAGGTCAGGTCGATTTTGCGACCTCTCCATTATAGGTCAATGGGAGAAAATTGAAAAGCGTCTGTTTTGCACGAACGCTATTCTAGACACTCTCAAACATCGAGATGTAGGTAAAATGGACACACTGAACCGGAAAATGGCAACTGTGACCTCTCGTTATGTCCCGGAGGTCATCTCAGGTCACGAACAGAATCTAACAGTTTTTCGCTAATAACTTCTGATAGAGACGTGCTAGAGCGCTGAAAACGCCTTAGATGTGTTCGGCTCGACGTTGCGGATCGACTGATATCAACATGACCTTTTCCGGTCAGGTCATGACCTTGACCTGAGGTCAAATTTTTAAGTTGACCTTTCAAGGTCAAATTATAGTTCATTCGACGCGTCTCGACGAGAGGATCACGATGGTGGCAACAGTAATGTCGTGGCTCTTTTGAGTCAAAAGTTATTCCCGATAAAACGTTTTTCGTAAAAACGGCTATTTTTGGAGTTTTTGCCCTCTGGAGGCTAAACCGTTGACCTGAGGTCAAATCTGAGAACATTACTCAGAAAGTTCTGTAAAAGGGCCATCGAATGCGCTTTTCCGCGGCGCTGTAGCTCTATCGGTTCCCGAGATAGCCGTTGGCAGTTTCCAAAATGTTGAAATAGTAGACATTTGACCTTTGGTGACCTCTGGTGACCTGACCTTGGACCTGACCCAAAAAATGACCGAAGTGTTTTCGTCCTTATTTTGGACGTTCTTTCCATAATCCGAGATTCGTTAAGTGCTTAAGTTACTACAATGATTTAGCGATCGTTAACTACGCATGAGCACCAAGGAACTAGAAAGATTGTTCCCCAAAATGCAAGAAATTGTAGGCAAATGAGCACTCGATGCTCCAAGCACAATTAAAAGTTTACCAAACATTTTATTCCTCATTCATCCATCGTCCAGGTCTACCCCACTGCCGAACTTCAACTTGGCAGTGCGAGTCTCATAAATCATCATTTATCATTAGCGACATGCCGATGATGTGACGGGTCACCCAGATTGGTGCCGGCCTACTCACATATCCCTGAGGTAGTAGCGGCCCGGGTGGCCCACGATGTCCTCGATGCCGGCCATGATGTGGTCCAGCGACCGCTCGTGGATCCGCTCGTTCATCGTCAACTTCCGCTTGTTGGCGCGTCTTACACCCAGCTTTTCGACCAGGGGCTTGATGGTCATACCCTGCGGTGGGAACGGACGGTACGGGGTCAGCGCAGGTCACAGAGAGGTCAAGGGTCAGGAGGCGAAGTTCCGTTGTGGTGAAGTATAGTTAAGTCCGAATGGGAACGTGGTCGTCAGGTCATCATAAATGTGGTCGCTTCCTGTGACTTAGCGTGGTGTAATGACTCAAGTTGTCGGTTTGACTTCCAATATACCTATGGCATCATGCTAACAGCTGAGTTCAGGCGTCAATGAGCCAACATGTTACATAGCCTGTAACGGTTACAGCGAAGTTAACGTTGTTACCTGTGCAGTCATTATATTATCTACTTTTTATAGAGGGCTACTGAGAAGCGTGTCGATGATCCATTGACCGAGTTGCCTGCCTGTTGAGGCCTCTGTGTGACAAAGCTAGCACCGGAACCAGGATCACGCGAGAAAGGTCACTGATCAAACGAGTTACACTTGTAGAATGCTTCTGAGCCTGAGCCTGAGCCTGAATTGTGCCTGCACGAAGCATCGCCACATCTTTACATTGTATGCGTTAGACGTGTTCTACTTAAGTGGGATTTACCATGAACATTCAACATAGCGGTTGCTTGCCAGTTACCGTACCTACTACCTACCCTTGGCCAACACAGTAGAAGAATACGACCAAGCATCTGCAGTCTACATCCTATCTACGACTACCTAAATAAAGTCATGCTGAAGTTCACTGAGCGAGCCTGCACGAAGACAGTGAAGCTGCTTAACCCGCGCACCGACGGGGGGGTCTGCGCCAACTTCGCACCGACGGGGGGGGGGGATGACCGCCACCCCCCCTGAGATCTCGAGAACGAAGCAAGATAGCGACAAGCGGTAAACGGCATCGGATACGCACGGTCAAGATCTACAATTTTTACAAAGGTCATTTTCAGGTCAGGTCAAAGATGACGTCACAGGGGTCGAAAAAGTCAAAATGGCGGCGCTAGATATGGAGAGAGTTTTTCTCGAATAACTTTCGAATTAGTCAAGATAGAAACAAACTAAGGGCATCATCGTGATCCTCTCGTCAATCCGCATCGAATGATATATATGTTGACCTCGAAAAGTCAAGGTCAAAGGTTGACCTCAGGTCACGTGACCTCGAGGTCATCATGTATATCATTCGATGCGTCTTGACAAGCTGAACACAATGAGACCATCCACGCGTCTGTATCTTGTTCCTGTACGGAGTTATTGGCCAAAAACCTTTGGTGACCTTTGATGACGTCACATGACCTCACAGCTGCCCAACAGCAAAACAGACCTCAAGGTAGTGAAGGTTGATCGTATATGAAGTCATGTATGGTATATGGGGCCATTCTGACCCGTTTTAGTGCTAAAAACAGGGAGTTGATTTTTCCCCCATTGACTTATAATGGGGAGGTCGCGAAATTGACCTGACCTTTGGTCACCGATATCAAACTTCCGAGATATACAAATTGTAGCTACTAATGACCTAATAATATCCTGCGACTTTCAAAGGCCTCCGACATCTACTGTAGCTCTGGCACGGTGACAAAGTTGCAAAAAAGTGACTTGAGGTTGGGTCATTCAAAGTGACCTGGTGACCTGACCTTAAAAGGAAGGAGGTTCAAACTTGCACACCATGTGTAAAATTGATGAGGGAATAGTCATACCAAATTTCGCGGCGCGAAAAACCTCAGGGGGGGCGGATATCCGCCCCCCCCCGTCGGTGCGCGGGTTAAGTTCAGTTACTGCACCCACCTGCACGAAGACGGTGAAGCTGCTGAAGCGGCTGCTGACCCACCTGCACGAAGACGGTGAAGTAGACCACGGTGATGGTGGTGGTGAGGAACATCTGCTGCTGCGGCACGTGATGAGGGTCGATGAGGAGCACGAGAGCGAAGGCCACCGCGCCTCGCAGGCCGCCGTACATCATGACAAACTTCTCCACACCCTCGATCTTGTGCATACGCGCCCGGTTGGCCAGACCGGCCAGAATGAGAACACCTGAGGGAGAGGAGATTTATCAGGGGAGGTGTAATTGGAAGGAGTTTCAGAGGATGTCAGGAGTCTCAGAGATTTTACGTATTTTTGGAGAAATGATGCTATGATATCGCTAAATCGATATATTTATGTTAGCATATATGTATAACGAAATAGTATGCTGGCATTTCTCGCAGAGACGTATAGAATGCATGGATAATGAGTATGATACATAATATCCAAGGGCTGACAGTAAACGACCTAACCTAATTGCTACAATACAACACTGACATAAAACTAGCCGCTGAGCAAATTCTATGAACGCATTAGAGCGATGATGCCGGTAAAACTGGTCCCGTTAGATATTTGCTGTTATGTGTCGTGCGTTCTAGGATAACCGGATAATGGGGGATAATGCGAGGCGTAAACTGGTTAGTTGGTTACGTCGGTGGTACACCATTGGTGTCACGGGGAATCGTGGAATGCCAGGGTGCTATAGGCGGTAGGAAACAATGCGTTAATGATTCATGACTTCCGACCTCACGGTTCCTTTGGGTGGTAATGGGTGGTCGGATGACTGACCACCGTTACACCACTCCTAATTAGTTACTGCAGCAACGTTACGATAAGCACATCCGAAACGGAGGAAGAAGGCGGAAGGCGTAGTGGAGATGAGCTAAAACCAAGCGATCAAAGGTCAAAGCCCAACCAAAATGTATGAAAACTCAAGCAGCAATAACAAAGATAACACGCCCTCATCCTCACCGAGCGCTCTGAAGAGCGAGCAGAAGAGGATGGTGAAGAGGACGAAGTAGGTGTTCCAGATGTGGTGGTTGTGCACGGTGGCAACGCCCAGCAGCATGAAGATGACCGTCTCGCAGCTGGAGGACAACATCTTCATCGTGTACTTGATGGTGGTGTGCGACTTGGCCGACACGTTCGAGATCACGTAGTTCTTCATGGTCAGACCACAGAAGGTGATGCTGCGGGAGAGCGGAAATACGGGGTCAGCTTGGGGTATGGCTGACATAGACTTAGACATAACATAGACTGTTTTAGTACGAAACGAAGTCCATTAACAATATTACATATATGATTCTTCGCAAACATTGCCGACGATCCAAATAATATTGTTTAGCATAGATACCACATGAATCATAGATTCATGTCAGCTATGTGTGTGATAACTGATAAGTGATAATACCAGTATAGCGCCTTTTGGGGCGACTAACGGAGCGAGCGAGGGGTGAGTCTTGCACGTGCGAAATTTCGAGGGGGTACCTCCAACTGACTTGTGCACGGCACCCTACTGACCGGTTTCTAGCGATGTGCCAAATTTGAGCACAATCGGCCCAGCCGTTCTCGAGATCTGGGAGCGGCACCCTGCACGTGCGCACGTGCAAAATGGGTCCCAACTGACTTGTGCACGGCACCCTACTAACCGGTCCCTAACCGTGTACCAAATTTGAACGCCATCGGTCCAGCCGTTCTCGAGATCTGGAAACGACCCCTGCACGTGCGCACGTGCAGCGGCACCCCAACTCTGGCACATGGATATGCAGTGCCTAGTGGGTGCCTACCTACATGCCAACTTTCAGAGCAATCGGCCAAGTAGTTACCGAGATATTGCAACAATTACAAAAGTGACACCTCTTCGTTTTGCACGTGGCACGTGCATAAGGGGTCACCCACATGCATCGGGAATAGTCCAATACTTGGTAGAAGGAATGAAGCTACCCTACAAAAATTACCGCATGTAAATCGGTCAAGTGTTTGCTGAGATATAAGCCTCGCAAAAGCCTCCACACGGCCGGCCGGCCGGCCGCTCATACTCAGAAATTTCCGTTGTTCTACGTAAGACTCCGCTCGCTTCGCTCGCTCCGTAATTATTGATGCTTCGGGTGAATGTCACCACAACGACCCTTCACTATGCAATTGGTTACATTCAAAGGAACATTTAAGCTTCAGTATCATCATCAATAGAGGCATAAACTCTCGCACTTGTATTCGCTTGATTTTTCTTTTGCATCACGTCTGTTTTTTTTTTCTTCAGGAACAATGTTATCAAACACCGTCTAACAATTTGCCAAAACACCGTGTCACAAACCTAAGTTGTTAGTGTTCTCGATACTGATCGATGATCATTTGCTTTCCCTTCACTTGAAAACAATCGACCCAACTCATCAATTCCAAAATTTTCCACTCGAGCCGGTCAAGAAAAACAGTCGAACCGTGCAAGGGACCACGCACAACGGGGTGCGTAAACATCGCTCCTCCCCATCCTGCTGTCTTGTAAGGTCTGTCTTTATCCCTCGCCCACTCCGTCTGATACGGGCGACTTCCTCCCAAGCGGCACACGACAGTCAAAGGGGTGGTCGGATGGGCCTCAGTGACTGGTCAGAGGGACCTCAATGGCTGGTCAGAGGGCTCCAAGGACCCGCCCATCAGCGGTCGGCATCTAAATCGTGTTTGTCGCGGTGCTCTGAGGTGTAATGCGGTCGGGCCCCGGGACCCGGTACGATCGGTGCGGTCGGGACCCGTGGTAAGATTGGTGAGGTCGGGACACGCGGTACGATCGGTGAGGTCGAGACCCGGTACGATCGGTGAGGAGGTAGGACGGTAAAAGGTTGGCTGATCCCACAGGCTGGTGGAAGGGGATGGGGAGAGATGGGGAGAGGAGGAAAGTGTCGGCCCAGAAGGGCGAAAAGCGGCAGTGACAGCCTTGTTTGAAAGGGGCCCTTGAAATCATTGTGGATTTTTTTATGATATGCCAAACATGACTTTTGTGCGCATGCAGGTATATGCAATGGCATTTGTGCATATTCAATGTCGGTAAATTAAAAACGCTTCGCCTCATGACAAGTGGCAGCCAATCTGTCACTTCTCGCTCAAGAGGCACACGACAATGATGTCGAACCCATTCAACTCGGGCAGATACTCACGCTAAAATTCCGGAGAGATGGAAGATCTCGGCGTTGAGGTAGGCCAGGTAGGACATAATGAAGACGAAGAGAGGCTCAATGACCCTGACGCTGCTGGTGAACCTGCCGAGAAAGACATTTAGCTGTAATTAAATCCAACAGTAGACAAACCAATCTAAAAAAGTTCACTAAAGTCATTATCGAAGTAGCAAGCACTTATACCGTATTAGGTACACGGTATATTTATTGCTTATATAAGCACTTATACCGTATAATGAAGTATGATTGTTTAGTTACGTCTAGTTATGTCTAGGAAAGCTTTGCTGCGCAGGACAGTTGGTTCGTAAAAAAATATGTAGAAACATGATACAGCTGCGAAGTCGGCAGGGCATGGCGGAGATGAGCTGAGTCAAATCGTCATCACTTTATTATCTCAAATTGTAGTTTCTTCGAATGAGTTCATCCAAGGTTAATGGGCTATTTCCAACGCATAATGTTTGTTTACGTTGTTACATCAACAAGTGTCTGGGAATAATTAATGAAGTGGTTCCACCTAGAGTGAAAGTAGTTTGGCCCAGGTAAATAAACACCTCACCCGGTGTAAGCAGACCGGATCGTGGGTCCCATTATTCAGTTCCGCGAAATTTTGGTAAGCCGTCTCAAGACATGAAGAACCGTCTATTTCAATTTCGTCAACCGTCGCTCTTAGTCCATTGGGCATAGATCATTACGTATCCGACAAAAAGACGTCGATTGTTACGCAGAATGAGCTCTTCGTGATCATTTATTCTTAATCCTCCTGTTATATCACGGTTAACCAAATAACTAACCTCACCACAGTAGCTATGGCGCAGCTAAGCAAGGAGACCGTCGAATTAGATTTACTCAGTAATGTTTAGAGTGAAACAGTGATGCTCTATCTCACTTCATTGGATTCTATGGATCTCTTGGATGAGTTCTGTATGAACTTAACAGCTGACACCTTCAATACCTTGCTTTATTCGTTCACGAATTATAGAGGTGCTTGTCACATGAACCATCTTTGGAAACTCAGAAGGAGCGAAAACTGAAGCGTATTTTTACCGCACTGCGATAGCCTATCCCGACAAGTCACATATTGTCAACTTAAATGTCAAAACAGTGCATTGGAGGTCCCAGGGGACAATACCAGGGCCGGTGCAAACGGAAAGGTCATGAACTTTGGATTATATTGCCGCAATAAAGGCTCGTACATTTGACACCTCAAAACATAAACTGCATTCGTTAACGGGCCTGAACCTTCCCTATCGGTTCATTCGTCAATATTGTCTATAAACCTGCTGCAATATTCACTCCTATCACCTTGTTAGACTGCTTCAACTGCATACAGAGGCACACAGTTCGATTAGTACATTCAACAGGGTCCCGTATGAGCGATGTAACTACCACTAGCGTTCATCGTGAGCACGTCTCCGTCTCGGCCACCTCTCATACGCTCCATTGACGCCAAACTATGACACACGGCGTCGGTCAGGGCCGACAACCATCACCCGCGGCGGCACCCGACCGTCGCCAGCGGCGGCGGCACGGAAACGACTGCAGGCGCGCATCATCACGGCTCGATCACGGCCGAACGGCGACCAAGGCAAGGCCGAGTAGAGCCTGGCCGCAGCCTCACCTTCGCTCGGGCCGCCGCCGCGTGACCCAGTTCCTAGCACCTCCGGGGCGGGCCAGGTGATCCCTGGCTCACCGCGGCACCGGCAGATTGGCTCTGTGACGGGGTTACGAGACACGCAACAACAACGACGACGACGGTGACGACGCAACGGTGACGACGCAACGGCAACGACGGCGTCGGCCGAGTTGAAAGCAGATGGTTTAGTTTAGGTTATTTTAGCTTAGTTCATTTTGGGTAAAATCAAACTTCAAAGGGCATGTGCGGCCCAGTTGCACAATGCACATTATGTCATTGATAAAACTGGGTAGGGTAGCCTGGGGCAAGACGCCCCAGATAATTTATTTTGCTACATAACTTTTGTCCCACATGACCTGGAAGGCTAAATTTGTGCTCAATGCGTTCTTTGGACATTTTACTTTAAATTCCACCCCTCAAATTATTTCACCTATGATCGGACTCCCAGCTAGGAAGCGATTTGTGAAGCAACTGCAAATGGGGCATTTTGCCCCAGCCCCAGGGCAAAACGCCCCACGGCCTGGGGCAAGAAGCCCCATACTCTAGATTAAAGATTAAACATGGTAGTTGGCTAAATCTTATATGAGAGGTCCGTTAGACCTCTGGAGGCACGGCACTGAAGTTAGCACATTCCATCCTGTCAGGTGTTCAGCTATGACACTATTGTAGGTATGAGCAGGTTTTTCACCTGCCTCAAAGAACCAAATAATAAATTATTGCAATGCAAATGTTTACAGAATGCTTCCTTTGCCATCCAGTTGCTGAGAAAAATACACAAAAGGGCATAGAAACTTACTGTTCGCCAGCTACCGAACATTAGAAAGTGGGTAGCCCGAACAACACATGGGGTAAAACGCCCCATGGGGCTTTTTGCCCCGCGACCTACTGGGGCGTTTTACCCCATCACGTAGTTCGGTCAGAGAACAACGCTTTGCACTCCAGCAAGACATAATTTAACACGAACCAACCCGGCATGATAAGCGTTAAACAATAGTTGTTCAAAATACATAAAAGTCGTTAACGTGATGTGGACCATAAAAGAACGCCATGATGCATAATCTGACAACAAAACATAAAAATCACTCAAAAAACACATTTTTGGCTATATCGCCCGAAAAAGTCAACACAATTTCTTTCCAGTCTGCTCATATAATGATCATATAGTGCACGTTTTATAGAAGAGAGGATGTTTCCCCAGAAATCTGCCACTTCCGAGAAACATCGGTGAGGCGTTTTACCTCGGCGGGGCGACTTGCCCCGGTCTACCCTACATGAAAATAGCATAATAGCAAACCAATAACAGCATTGACAATTTGTTAACAATCTGTTCAATATCACCTGAAATAATATTTGCAGTTTGCACCATTTCCATCGGCGACAGTGATGTCATTTCCCGTCAGCCCTGGCCCTTCTCCGTCGAGTCATCTCACTCTGGCAACGAAGGCATTGAGGAGAAAACGACATCACCGCACTCCCCCACCATCTCAACCTTCAGCCACCACACTCACCTGGTGACGAAGGCGGTGAGGAAGCCCCAGATGATGCCGACCAGGGTGCCGCCCAGAGCCACGATCAGAAACTTGAGCAGACCGGCAGCCACGTCCAGTGCAGTGATGTTGTTCTCACCCATCTCCACGTACGCCTCAAACATGTGGTACAACACCTGCGGAGAAGGGGGAGAGGATGTGGTAAATCAGAGGACGAGGAACTGCTGAAGGGTTTGGTATGAAGGTGACAGTGTTATGTCCAGGGATTCAAACTTTTAGGTGATTATGCGGTGCCAGTGGGCTTGATATTATATGCCAGTACCCATAGACATATTAACTATACAGGGTCTTCTCATAGCTACTCATGTTTTAAAATGTTACCGTAACGTAAATGTGTAAAATGAATGAATTATGAATATTCAAATCTTGTAGATTAGACAAGAGAAGAAAACTCCATGAATTCCGGTCCCTTAATTGTTAGAAGCTGCCGCTGTAAATATTCGGAACTGGCTGTATGAAGAGATGGAACAGGCAACATACACCAGTCATGCAGCCTACCGTGAGCTATTTGAAACCGCGTGATGATCTACATTTTTTGCACTGCATGGGACGCCTGCATTGCTACTGTTGACTCATTGAACAGCTGTGGATCGCGATACTTTCCGCTTTCCGCTTTTTTTGCAGTAAACCGGCAATAAAATAATCAAATACTGAATCACAAGTCAACCATGAATTGAAACAATGTCTTCCACGTACATTCATCATCCGCTAGTGCAATTGCATGCAATTCCTCTTACATAATATGCAACTGTGCATCAGAAAATTCAGCGTAACTAATACCTACCACCCATTGTTTATTCAGCCACTCAACCACCATGTAAAAATGATGCTTTGCCATGTCTGATTTCTATCTTTGACATGCCCACAGAAAGTAGAAACGGTCTGGAGCACAGTGAAACTCACTCTTAGCTCAGTGGAATAAGTATCAAAATATTTATTTCTAAATGCACACAATAAAACCATGAGTATAACGGATCGGTTTAGAAAATCACAGGCACTTGAAAACCAAAAAGTGCCGGTTTTCTGCACTAATATGCAACATTTTTCTAGCCAGGGATAGCTGATGATGGTATCAGACCACCCGATGGCGGCTAATTGTTGTTCGATTATCGATAGCGCTGTTACGCTTGCTACCTCAAAGCGCCTTATACGACGCAATTTGGTTCGATTATGAGTCGCCAAGTACTTGAACCGGGACATTTCCATCTGGCCCTATACATCATCCTTTGCTGGTTTATCGAAACGTATAGAGAACAAAATGTATGGACAATTAACAGTGAAAACGATATTTTAGTTAAAAAAACACAATTAAAATGTTCTTTCATATACACACAAAGTTAATTTTAAAGGTGCCCGTTCGAATCACGCAAAAAGCATCCGATTGAATCATAAAATAAGATATTACGTAATTTGTAACTACCCAAGCCAGCATTCACCCGGCTCGAGATGGTTGCCAGGCGCCAGCGATGGCATGGTCTGCTGCAGAACCCGAACAGGATCCGTATTGTATTGTTACCATGGCAGCTTAGTGTCCGCATTCCGTATCCATACAGTGGTGTCTGTAGCCAGTCCACCTGTGTCTGCATCCGTCCATGCAGTCCTCGTTTTTCCACGTGTGTGCCCTCCCATACAATTGTGTTCGCCTCTGGACACACTTTACTGCACTGCACTGTACTGCACTGCACTGCTCAGAACTACCCCACTGCAGTGCTTTGCACGGCTCTCATATCCGGCCTGTGCACTTTGTGCCTGCGCGACTCCCGTTTACGACCCATGTAGGTATGCATCCCACACTGACCTTCCGGCCAGCACCTACATGTATGACGAGCGGCTCTCCCCTGCCGCTATGACTCAGCCAGCATTGTCGACCTGACATGACACAGTTGGGCGAGGCTTCCGCCCCCTCCCCCTCCCCCTCCCCGGCTCCCGGCAGTCTGGTGGGACTCCCACAAGCTCCTGGCAAACCAAACGGGCGAGCGGTGACCGGTCCGTAGCGTCATGCCCCGCGGCCATTCGCAGCCAGGGACCGTAGCCCGAAGCGGTGCAGTGAATGGAAATGCGATGGGGTGACGTAATGTCGCCACAATGGGTGTTGGGAAACGTGCTGAGCTGATGCAGGGTGTTCCCGAGCTCAGGGCAGCGAAAGGACCGAAACTTGTCGAACGTTTATCGAATAAGCCACGCAGTGGGTCCGCGGACGGGCTCGTAACGAAAAGGGTCGTAACGGAATCAGAGAAGCGAAATTACAGAACACAAACACCTAACTTTTTATTTGCGTTAACTATTTCAAGAGTGTTAGATATATCCATGCAAAATATACCTACACATAAATATAAGAACGCGCAGAAACTTACCACAGTGACGGCGTCATTGAGCAGGGACTCGCCGAAGACGACGATGTAGAGCATCTCGTTGACGTGGATCTCCTCGAAGACGGCCAGCACGGCCACGGGGTCAACGGCCGAGATGAGGGCAGCGAACAGGAAGGTGTTCAGGATGGGCATTTCCACGCCGTACAGACCAGTCAGACCGACCAGGTACAGACCTCCGCCTGTGGATAGAGAGGGGACGAGTCGTCAGCGCGGCCACAACAGGTGCTTTCAGACTTCCGCCTGCGTAACGGGAGAGCGACACGGATCGTCAGCGTGGTCAGAAGAGGTACAGACCTCAGCCTTCGGGACGACGCAAAATACAGGTATAGAATCTGGGAAGATTAGAAACCATAGACCTCATTGGCTTGATGTTGTGAAAGCGAGAGAAAAAAGCGATCATGACAAACATAGGTATACCTGTACTGCTAAAGAAAATGATTATTTTGCCTCGTCGGCGTCATCTTTTATTTCTTTTGCATTCGTAGTAGCATGATTATAAGTGGAGTTAGTTATATGGTTCCCGAAGCTAATACGGTTGTAGAACACCCTCGTTCTCCGAAAAGCCGGATAGACTCGGACGTATGCCTACAGTCCTATTGATCTCCAAACGCAGCTCGGCATCCGCAAACAGCCGTCCACATCAGTCGAATTGCCGAGCCATCGATCTACTCTCTATGTACTTGTCATTCTTAATTGCTGTTTCTCGCTGAGATTGGTCGACAGGTATCAGGTATCCGCCCACCAGTCACCGAAGCTTCGCAGATAATGTATCATTGTAGACTTCGGGAAATGACCCCGACTTGCGTGCGCTCACAAATCACAGCTATTGATCGCGATATCATCTGCGCGGAACCGTCCCACGTCCGTTCCACCACGACTTCCACCCACGTCTTCGCCTTCTGGCCCGTAAGATGTGTGGTCGCTCTAGAGATAGTCATCAGCAGCGTGGAGACGTAAACAAAAACAACACGTTACGAGTGTATCGCGTGTGATGACTCAATTCTCATCGCGAGATTTGAAAACCGGTCCTGATACAGATACAGATACAGATACTTTATTCACAGCAAATCCATGGAACATGGCTTTTCATTGCAATACGTCAAATATGTAAATACACAAGGTTCAAGACAGTTCAAGACCTGAGGTACAGCGATCTGTCATCTCCCTCCCTGCGGCAGCAGTGACGGCTACCACGCCTCACGTATTGTGAAGAAAAAGACGGGCAGACATGACGCGACGGAAACCAAATCGGCGCGTCACTTTGCGGCGTGTGACGACGCAACAGTGCGCTACTGATGCGTGACGCGCACGGCGCCGCAATCGCCGCCCATTAGCGGTGCGTTCGCGGCGCGTTGTTGACAGCTGCGGCGCGACGGCGCGGTGGCGGCGGCGGCGCGGCGGCGGCCCTGGCCCAGATGAATGCCGCGGGGCCACTCCAAGCCTCCGGGTAGGGCGACAGCGGCGGCGGCAGCAGCAGCTGAAAGTGTGGCGGCCTTCCCAAGGGCGAAGTCAGCGGGAGCGCCTTCAGCGCTCTCGAACAGATGATTGAGTTACCTCAGAGTGTCGGTAATCAATCACGTAGGTAGTGATCTCGTGAGGTCGCTAGCCCGAGATCGCAGTACATGAAATGGAGGGTCGGAAGAACTAACTAGGGCGGCAGCTAACTAGACACGCAACAGATAATAACTCCCACGCAGCCTGCGTCCAGCTGATGCGTACGGAGATGCGGCTGGGCAATGCTTTCCCATTAATACAGGAGACGTTCAAATGCTCAAGAGCGACAAGAACTGGAAGGACTTCTCCGAGGCCACGGGACTATCTCGAAGAGATAGACCGGTCCCGAAAGGCACACCCTATATAGGGCAGTGGTCGGCAGGTCCTCCGCGGTCGTGCCCCCTTTTTTGGCGCCAAGCAGCGCCATTACCCCCACCTGCCAGACCCCATTGGTGATATAACCATGGTTACTAAAATTCCATACTTTTCCGCGACTCTTTGGGTACCACATCTGCGAGAAACCACAGGCTCCCCCCCTGCGGTTTCTCGCAAATATCTCAAAAAAGTTGAGCGCCACCATTTTGTCACATTTTGTCATGCATTTTGTCTGCACATGTTGTGAAAATTTCAGACCAAAGTCGCTCAAAGTCAGGTCACCAGATCACGTCAAGTTACCTCACCTCAGTAAAGACTGTAACGCCTGTTGTAGCTACACAGAGTAACAGATCTCTTTCAAACTTTCAGGAATTGACAAAGGCAACAAAACATGTACAAAATTTGTATCTCGGATATTTGATGTAGGTGACCAAAGGTCAGCTCACTTTCACGCCCTCTCTCGTTATCAATGGGAGAGGTCGCAAAGTCAATGGTAGAAATTGAAAGACGCCTCTTTTGGATGAGTGTCATTCCTAGCACTGTGAAGCACTGAATCACAAGGAAACATGACCACTGAGCCGGAAAACTGCACCCGTAACCCCGCTGTTATGTCCCTGAGGTCATTTCAAGTCGTGAACGGCATCTAATAGTTTTTCGCTAATAACTTTTGATAAAGGCATGCCAGAGCGATGAAAATACCTTAGATGTGTTTAGCTCGACGACACGGATCACCTGATGTGCAACAAGACCTTCGATGCTTCTCGACGGGGGGAGCACGATGCTGATAAAAGTGAGCTCTTGCAAGTTCTGAGTGAAACGCTACTGAAGAAAAACTATCAGCAAACAACGTACATTTTATCAGCAAAAAACGTACATTTTAGCCATTTTTGTCTCCGTAGGCTAAATCGTTATTCTTAGGTTAAATCTGAGGGCGTCATCAGAAAAAAAAACGTTAAGAGAGCTATCGAATGCGTTTTTCCGCAGCTCTGTAGCTCTATCCTTTCCTGAGCTATAGGCCAGTTTGTCGAAAATTGTCAAAGGTTGACCTGAAAATTGGCGAAATTTTACGTTCGATGACCTCTGGTGAGCTGACCTTTGACTTGACCTAAAAAGTGGCCATAGTTTTCCTTCATCATGTCTTACTCTCTTTCGAACGCCGACTACGGCGTTTCGCTAGTGACCCAGGAGACAAGTTAGAAGGGGGGAGGGGGTTCAACTTCCACCTCCAGCAGGGCGTGGATACCCAGGAGCCCCATCAGGGCGCGGGTTAACCCCCATACGAATAGGGGTAGCGTGTATTTTTGGGGAATAGATCACGTTAAAAGGGTCGGATCATAAAAACTGTACCCTCGAGCCGATCATTTTTATCTGTCCTGAAAATGGCATGACCTTAACCCGAATAACCGTTGATTTGTGAGATCTTTCTTGAGATCATGGCAGTCCACAAAATCTCACTTCAAGAAGTTACAACAAGAGCCGATTTACTCGGGACTTGTCATTGACCTCTGGAAGGTCACCAAATGACCAAGGACCTTTAAATTGGGTAGCAGCGGCTGCCTATCTTCACGGGCAGCACGCTCAATTTTTCTGCAAAGCTCCAGCTCAGAGGCCGAGATGCTCGGGTCAGGGTGCAATGGACAACTCCTCTCCCTTGCGTTAGTGACTGTGAAAACGCCAACAGGCGAGCGCCGGCTAATACATGGCAGTTACTTTTGCGCGACTGTACGGAATGGTGAGCAGCTATGTACATGAAAATTGGCATGCGCCAGCTGATCAGTTCATGCTTTGTGCGTTTGCCCTCGACTAATTTTTAAATCCTGGGGCACAACAGTTGCGATGTCCGTCCCATCAATGGAGCCATTAATTCTAAAAAAAAAGATGAGGCTTTCTCAGAGGCCCTCATTACCCCCCGCCGAATGGCGCCATTACCCCCAAAGGGGGCATGCCCCACCATTTGCCGACCCCTGCTATAGGGTATGTCCCAGCCTAATATTGACAATACGGACCCAGCAAGCTACCGGATACCGAATCCTGGACACACCGCGCCAACCTTCTGTGTGTTGAGCCACGCGTGAGCCACAAAGCGGAAGCCGTCACGTCACGCCTCGCACAGTCACGACTCACAACTCACGCTCTCCGAGTGAGTCACGCTGGCTCGGTGTCCCTGGGGGTGCCAAGGTGTCCCCGTTCGACCCAGCGCACCCCCGAACTGATTGTTCGGAGGCTGCAGACAGGATAAGGTTGATCAATCGGTCTGCACTAAGCTCAATGGTCCTAACCGAGACACCAGACTTTGTAGACCTGCACCAAGCAAGGCGAAAAGGTTACCTCGACACCAGTGGGATTCCCGCGTTGCGGCATTCTCACTTCTTGGTCCCCGGCTCCCGAAATCACCGAAGCGCGCGAGAGCGTAGGCAATGGGCATCCCGCGGTAGTAGCACCCAGCGCTGTGACGACATGGTGCCGCGTGGAGACGTCATGAACCTGATAGCATCACAGTATTGTCACACAACACTGACAGGTTTTTTATTAGATTCACGTGATCGGTAATAGTTGACGACAGTATTGGCTATCGAACTCTATTTTGGTGTAATGAATTATCGGACAGCCGGAAGCAAACCACCATTATGCACAAATTGTACAAAAGCGAGCCAAAATCATGCTCAGGTGTGTAAGCGATGTGACGAAGTCCAGCTATGCGCGTGTATCCCCCACTGGGCGTTCACCTAGTCGGACGCGCGTCACCAGAGTAGGGTCAAACCGCAAGTCATCAGAGCCACACAAGGAGAAAACGTCCCAGACATCCGGACTCCGGAACGGCGGTGACCCGGGGAAAACCCACAGGATACCGCTCTCGCGTCTGATCTGCAGAATTCAGCCCGCGCTCCGCCTATAGGGATACGCTGTACACTGGTGTGGTAACCGGATCTGCTGCAGGTCAAAGAAACCGCTGTTTGCTGGCTGGTGGAGTTCTCGATTCAACCAGAGGTAAAGCAAACACTAAGCAGGTCCTGAGTTTCATTAGCACTGATTTATTTATGTGGAAACTGTACACAGGCAATATGATTGACATTGAACAATAAATACGCGTAAGGATGGTGCGTCAATTATTCGAATGTAGTTTTATACAGGAAAGTGAACTTAAGGCGAACACTGACATAGACTTATCTATGTAATACAGTAGGCAAGTATAGACCTAAGTTGTATACAGAGGTCTACGCATGGACCTCTGTATACAGAGGTCTGTGACGAAAGTTAAGTATTTGTTTAAAACTTTTACGTGTTCTTTTTGGTTCCTATTTTTTTTTTT